AATATGCATGTATCCTTCACTGCTAATATCCTATAGTCCTGTGATCATAAGCTACTACTCAGATTTCATAGGAATCATTTTACATGTCATTTTTTCATTTTGCTATCCTTTACTTTGCACTGCCATTTTTCAGCATCAAAAACCCAGTAAACCCATTTTCTAAATATGTCCTGTTTTTAGGAAGCTTTAATAATCATTCTGTGTCTCTCAATTTTTTCCAATGTTTCCCATTATTCTCTCATGACTCTCATTTCCTCTTCTCTCATTTTAGGTAGAAGCAGAGAATAGATGAACTCTAATAACACTTCCTTATCAATAGTTCTTTTTAAAAAGAGAAATAAACTTGTATCTCTTTGTCTTTCTTTCGGTACTAAAAGTGCCTCTAAACTGTTATAAACTTTATTATTCCCTTCTACTTCTAAACATATTATTCTGGTTCACTTAAATGATGATAATCTTCAATTAAAATATTGGCTAGTGTTCAAGCGAATACTTAGAAATCATTTTTTGCACAGATTATGATCAATAGTCTATGGGATGAGGAAAACTCAAAATGTTTATATAAGTAGAATTTATTATGCTTAAACACGTTCACTGATATTTTATTTGATATAACATAAAGGGTACTATTGTCATGACTGTCATTTCCTATCACACTACTTCCTTCATTATATAGCAGAGTACATCAAAATTGAACTACTTATAACAAAGAGCTCTTTTAGTTCCTTATCTCCTTGCCTTTGTTCTCACTATATCCTTAGAAAGATTCATCTTTCCCTTTGTACCTTCTTTACTTCGCTCATCCTTCTAAACTCACCTATCACCTTCAAGAAAATGTCTTCCTTAGCATCCTTATGGTAACATATCCCTTTCTCTGTGCTCCTCTACTCTTTGACTGTATCTTTGCTTATATAAATTGTTTAATATTTACCTTTGTTAATTTTTTTCTATGAGGCTATGAATGTTGGTATAGGCAGAGTCTTCTTTCACTTCACAACTAATGCAGTAATCAGCACCTACAAAGCATTGTAAATGATTAATCTATAGGGGTCAGAGCCATAGTAAAGCAAGTAGAGTGCTTGCCTTGCATGAAGCTGACCTGGATATGGTCCCCTAAGCCTGCAGGAATGAGCACAAAGCAAGAAGTAAGCCCCAAATATTCTACAATTATGATATAAATGAATTATTTATCTGCAACAAATTATGGCTCTATGAATAAAAAAAACTATCTTCATTTTACATATAGGGACAGTATGGCCCAGCAATTTTAAGGTCATAATTAGTTCTTCACTATAACTATAATTCATTTCTGATTTTATGTTTTCACAAGTTGTCCAACATCATTTTGTGTGATTACTTGCATGCATGAAATGTGACTATAGTAATTTAACTATCTCACATTTATAGTATACCAAGTGTCTCAGAAATATCACTAATCTTAGAATATGTAAAGGGCCAGATCTATAGACTTAAATTGACTTTGTTAGAAAGGGTTAATTAAGTCTGAGAGGATATTTAATTTTTATAAAATGGTAAGAAGCTAATTTTAATGGGGTTTCCTACAGAGCAAACTAAAAATGTTGGTCACTTTGTGAAATTTATGAAATAGCTGTTCTTCCTTCTTTGACTTCTACAGGGAATAGTTTCAAGTAAGATTTTATGAAAGATTTTTTTCTTTGCCTCTTACATTAATGCACACAGGCATATTTTATTAGGAAAAGAAAGTTAGTTATAAACCAAACCTAAATGAAATAAAGTAGAATATTTGCCACTTGAAATGACTAGGTAGGAGTATACAGATTATCACTATCACTGTCACTGTCCTCCTGATGTTCATCGATTTGCTCAAGCGGGCCCAGTAACATTGTGAGACTTGTTACTGTGTTTGGCATATCAAATACACCACGGGGAGCTTGTCAGGCTTTGCTTTGCAGGCGAGATACTCTCAGTAGCTTGCCAGGCTCTCTGAGAGGGGAGGAGGAATCGAACTCGGGTCGGCCCCGTTGGCTGCGTGCAAGGCAAACACCCTATCCACTGTGCTCTCGCTCCAGCTGATATAGACTATTACTTCCTAAAAATATATTTTCAGTTTTTGTTCCCTTTGTTGCTGATTACACATAAGCTTCTTCTACTATAACTTAAGGACTACAGCAGCATTTCATTAAAGTATTGAAATTATCTCTGTACTCTATTATCTTATGTATATACATGTATACTATAAGTAACTTTAAAATGTAAAGAGTCATGTTTAAATTGATCAACGTTTAAATAACATAAGAAGTAACAATGGAAATAACTATGTACAAATATATACAAGGGTGAAAATTTAGCTTAATAAAAATAAAATTGGGGTCAAAGTAGAAGTTATTTTTATTGTACTAAGATCAAAAGAGATGGGAGAGGACTTCTAGTGAAGTTATTTGATGATGAAGCTCGCATTTAGTGCTATTTACATAGTAGACACAATATTTGCACATAATGTCAAGGTTTCCCTCTTGCTTTCAAAGCCGTGTCTAAAAATCTCTTTTTGTGCATATATCTTAAAACAATAAAAATATTGCCTTACTACCCACTTATATTTAAATGAATCTGGAACAAAACTTTTCAAATGTCCTCCTCCTCATCTTTGGATGGAGAAGGCTGGGTGTGTTTTTAAAACCTCTTAATATATGCTTTCAAATGATTCATTTACTCTGGCAGAATACTTATGCATATGTAAGATAACAAGTGGAATTGCAAATAAGTTCATTAAATTTTATAAATTCATGTTTATAGCACTGAGGAATAGATGTACAGACCAGTTTTCATGCAGCAAGTCTATGTAAATGGTTATATTTTGACCATTTAAAGGATTTCATCTTTTTTTATTACAACAAGGAGTAGTGTTGACTATATGAAAGTTGTGTTCAAAATAGATTATTTCAGATTTGAAAAAGCTTACTAAATATTTTTATTGTTTCATGCTTGTGAACGAAGTAAAATTTGCTTACTGTAGCTAAGATTTTTCCTATACTGTACAAATGATGTTGAAATTTGGTCACATAGTTAATAGCTTGCACAAGAAATTATTGGGTGATGCTGAACATGATGTTCTTATCTACAAATTATTTACCTATTTTTCCTATTTTTGTAATATATTGCTTAAGACTACTTATGTATGAATTAATAATGTGCTTTTAAGATAAATATATTCATAGGGCATAAATATATTTGTTATTGGAAAGTGATTCTTCATATCATCTGTTTTCAGAAATGACAAAGACATATGACTGAAAAGAAGTGGGACAAAGATGGTTATTTTGTCAGGGTATTTCACTGCAGTTTATTTGATTCCTATAAAGAAACTATGAGAGCTTATAGACTTGGCAATATTTTTAAAACATTGACACATGATTACGTTCACAATAAAGCAAAAGATGATTTGACTTCTAAAAGGCATTTTAATAAATTCAGGTTGAGAAATTTCCTAGTTGTAAGACTAAATATTAATTTCCAGTTTAGGAAAAATGAAATATGAAGATGTTTTATAAGATTTTCCACCCTTGGCTGTTGGAAAAACACAGTATTTGGCTATTTTTTGGCTCCTTAGAGCATATTTGTAATCCATGAAAAACATCATTTGTATTACTTTTATTAGTGAGACACCATGAGGTACAGTTGTAGACTTACAAATTTTTTGCTTGGGTTTCAATTATACAATGATCAAATACCCATCTCTCCACCAGTGCCCATTTCCCATCACCACAGATCCCAGTATCCCTCCCACCACCATCCCCTCCATCCCACCCTGCCTCTGTTGCAGTGCATTCCCGTCTGTTCTCTCTCTCCTTTTGGGTGTTGTGGTTTGCAAAAGAGGCATTGAGTAGCAATCATGTTTGGTCAGTAGTCTTCACTACATGGAAAGTATCATGTTAAGCGAAATGAGTCAAAAAGAGAGGAATAGACATAGAAAGATTACATTCATCTGGGGAACATAAAGTAACAAAATAGGAGACTAACACCAAAGAGTGGCCAAGATTAGTACCAGGAATTTTGCTCCATGGCTTGGAGTCCAGCCACACATGCTAGGGGGAAAAGGAGCTCAGATAGAGAAGGGAGCACCAAATAAAAGATGTTGGGAGAATCCTCCCAGGATGAGAGAAGCATGCTGAAAGAAGACTATAGACCAAACATCATTTGTATTTTGATAAGAAATTTTCTGACTTTTGATAAAATCAACAAAAATGTGCCTATCAATGAGGCAGTCAGGGGATTGGGAATAAACCTTGGAAAATTGATAGAGGAATTTGACACTGGTGGTGAGATCGGTGTTGGAATATTGTATACTTGAAACAACTATGAAAAACTATAAATCATGATGCCTTAATATTTTTAAATATTTTTATATGTAAAAATAAATCATTTAGAAGCAGTACTAGAAAATCGGAATTGTAAGATCTCTCTTCTTCTAAAGCTTATATACACTTATTTATCAGATACCTATTAAGCTCTTAACTTCTCTAGATAATGAACTCTGTTCTAGGAAGCAAAGATAGTTAAGCCTGATCAGGAAATCTCTCCCAGAATAGAAGAAAGGTATGCTAAGGGTCCAAGCTAGAGGATAAGGTATTGCAAAGGACAGAAAAATTAGTTTACTTGAATGTGGGGAGGGTAAGAGGAAAAGCTTTAAAATAATTTTTCGGAAGAAATGTCAGATAATAGTTCCTCCTGATTGTACTAGTAAAGTTTACTGTATGAAAAGAAATAATATTGTATATGTTCAGATGAAGTTATTTTTCTTTTTATATAATATTTGAATAAGGTTTTGACTATATTATTACTTTGATTTTTTTAGTTTTAATAAAACTAAATAAAATCTAATAAAACATAATGTTTTATTTTGTTTATCAATAAACTTAATACTAAGTAAAAAATAACACTAATGCATAATAAAGTTGTTTAAATTGTAAAATAGGAATAATAGTATGGCTTCTCAAATCTTTATTCATTTTAAATTATAGATGAAAGAGAAGATGTTCAAAAGAAAACATTCACAAAATGGATAAATGCACAATTTTCTAAGGTAAGATATTTTATTATTTCTTTTAAGATTCAAAATAAGTTGTTGTGATTTAAAAATGAACCTTATATCAATTTTAATGTGTGTCTTGTTTATTCAGAATCATTTTGTTTTAGCAGCACAAATCTAGGTACATATTGTTGATTTTAATTAAGGAAGGAACAGCAGAATAGAAGGCAAAGAGAAATGATTTGATTTGATAAAATATATTTTGGTTTCTTGATATAGACTTTAATGACATCAGTGATAAGAGGATTGTAACAAAGATCAGCCAAGTGGCTAGTATATACTTTAGGAGAAATTATGATGGATTGTTACTGTTCTAAAAATTTTTCTTTTTGTTATTGTCTTTCTTGGTCCTTACTAAATTGAAACAAACTGGTACCTGTGCCTTGGGTCTATTTGTTGCTAGCTATCACTCAGTGAAGAGGTTCCCAAGCTTATTTGGCCCCTTTTCAGAAAAAAAAGTCACTCACAGTCCCACCCCTACCCACTACCTTCTTCAAGCCAACTAACAGAAATTCACTCCCAATTGCACCCAAGGCGACTATTTATTGCTTTCCCTGGTTGTTACCTTGCCTCCCATAGAACCGTACTTCCTACCTTAGGAAACATTGCTTTAGATTCTGACATTTTAAACTTTGAGCCATGTAACTGAATGTAGATTCATGGAAAGAAAAAAATACTGGTAACAATAAAAGGTTTCTGAATGCACAATGACAGAAAATTCATTCACATTCGAACACGTAATGAATCAACAAAGTTTTTGGCAGTGTCACATTTCTTGAGCAAAAAGTGATGTAGGTAGAAAAAAGGTATGTAGAAAAAGTTTCAGAACCCTGATTTATGTCATGCATCCAGTATTTTAAGATGATAGCTTTTTACTCTTTCCTGTAGAAATTTGTAGTCATAACACCATTTATTTTTCAAATGCAACACAATTCATGCTTGAAAGTTAACCTCTATGTAATCAAACATGAACTTGGTGTAAATAGTTCTTAGCTTGAAAAGTATTATTAAGAGTGCATCACAAGAGGTTTGTGTGAATTTCTAGATTAGAATGACCTGGATTTATGTTTAATAAATCTGGACATAGGGAAATCAATAAAATGCTTTGTAAGTTAGCTTACTCATATTTACTTCACATATGTTTGTATACAAGTATATGGAGTCCCTTCCTAATAAATCCAACCCTCTTGATGGGAATATCAGCTAATAGTGGATATTTTGCATGGCATTATCAGTATAAAGTCATGGTGTACAAAATTTCTAGCTCACCTGCTGCCATTCTTAATATATATGAATTATTATCACCATAGTTCTCTCAGGTTATGTAAAAGTCTTGGTAATAGATCTAAAACATATTGGAAATGTACTTTGAGTTCCCTTTATTTTTATAAATGGTTTTAGAATATAATCCATTCTTTGTTTAATTCAATAGTAGAATTTAGCCAGGTACTCCTTAATATTTTGGCAAGACAAAAATTGTTGAACTTAAGTTGTTTGAACATAAATGGTCAAATTTTACTTCTATTTATTTACTGAATTGATAATAAATTTCTATAATGGAGCTTTAAGAAGTGCATATAAAAGCAACTTAAGTTTTAATTTATTTTTATTTGTCATTTTGGGACATACTCAGTGGTGTTCTGGTATTATTCCTGGCTCTGTGCCCAAGGCTAACTCCTGGCAAGGCTCAGGGCTGCCAAGGATCAAACAGGGTTAGTTGCATTCAAGGCAATCACCTGCCCACTGTTAATTATTGCCAAGAAATTTTTAAGTCAACATATTCAACTTAGTTACAATCATATAAATAGAATAAAATATAACAATACAAATAATAAAAAGTTAAAATTTTTTGGGGTCAGAATTCATAATTCTCAGAATATTTACCAGATATTAAGTACATTGTTTAATTGCTATACTACTTCCTCATTAAAATGTTCTGAATTTTAGAAATTTGACATAGGCAATAGATATAGGATTTCAAATAAATATACAGAAAAATAATAATTTTAATATTTGAAATCATAAATGCAACACAATACTCTAAATCTTTTAAACTAATAAGATATTTCAATAAAGCATGTAAGCATGACAAATACTGTGAATTTCTTATTTTCATGAATATAAATAGATCATCACTCTCTACACGTTAGCATTTTTTTTTTAATTTTTTTTTTATTTATTTATTGAATCACTGTGGGAAAGGTTACAAAGCTTTCAGGTTTATGTCTCAGTCATGTAAATATCAAACACATTTCCCTTTACCAATACTTATTTTTTACCATGAAGAACCCCAATAAAACCCCACCCCCCCACCCCTCCCCATCCCTGTGAGGCAGATGAATTCTAGTTAACACTCTATCTGCTTTGATTAGATTCATTGTTTCAATAAAAGATTCACCACTATTATTTAGAGTTTACCCCCCACCCCCAAATCAGACATGCTGAAAAAGCATTGTGAAGTGATCTGCTTTCTACGGCTGGGTTCAAGAATTAAATGTTGGTTTTGGATTTCTGCTCTTTTACCTATTGACCCTGGAAGTATTTCTACTGAAAGTCAGATAGTTAAGAAATTGGTTTCTGTGTTCTGGAGTCCTGGCCGTGCTGGAGAGCCGCTCGCGGGGGGCAACCGGTGGCCTCGGTAGGGCGTGAAGGGCGGAGCGAAACGCCCCCCTTCCCATGAGGTTTTAGTCGCCCCCACACTCCCGGCTCAGACCTGCTGTCCACAAGGCTCCCATGTGGCCGCCATCTTTCTTTCCAGAGAGGAGAGGGCGAATGGGGCAACACCCTTTCCCCTCCGGCAGACTTGATGGCCTGGATCAATGCATAGTCCGTTCACTTTTCTGCTCCAAGCTGCTGGATTCTGCATTAAGTCCTTGTGCTTCTGGGGCCGTGGCCGTGCTGGAGAGCCGCTCGCGGGGGGCAACTGGTGACCTCGGTAGGGCGTGAAGGACGGACTGGAACGCCCCCCTTCCCATGAGGTTTTAGTCGCCCCCACACCCCCGGCTCATACCTGCTGTCCACAAGGCTCCCATGTGGCCGCCATCTTTCTTTCCAGAGGGAGGAGGGCGGAAGGGAGCAACACCCTTTCCCCTCTGGGCAGAAATGATTGCCTGGATTAACGCATAGTCCTTTCACTTTTCTGCTCAAGCTGCTGGGTTCTGCATTAGGTCATTGTGCTTCTGGGGCTGTGGCCGTGCTGGAGAGCCGCTCGTGGGGGCAACTGGTGGCCTCGGTAGGGCATGAAGGGCGGACCGGAACGCCCCCCTTCCCATGAGGTTTTAGTCGCCCCCACACTCCCGGCTCATACCTGCTGTCCACAAGGCTCCCATGTGGCCGCCATCTTTCTTTCCAGAGAGGAGAGGGCGAATGGGGCAACACCCTTTCCCCTCCGGCAGACTTGATGGGCTGGATCAACGCATAGTCCGTTCACTTTTCTGCTCCAAGCTGCTGGGTTCTGCATTAAGTCCTTGTGCTTCTGGGGCCGTGGCCGTGCTGGAGAGCCGCTCGTGAGGGGTGACTGGTGACCTCGGTAGGGCGTGAAGGACGGACTGGAACGCCCCCCTTCCCATGAGGTTTTAGTCGCCCCCACACCCCCGGCTCATACCTGCTGTCCACAAGGCTCCCATGTGGCCGCCATCTTTCTTTCCAGAGGGAGGAGGGCGGAAGGGAGCAACACCCTTTCCCCTCTGGGCAGAAATGATTGCCTGGATTAACGCATAGTCCTTTCACTTTTCTGCTCCAAGCTGCTGGGTTCTGCATTAAGTCCTTGTGCTTCTGGGACTGTGGCCGTGCTGGGGAGCCGCTCGTGGGGGGCAACTGTTGACCTCGGTAGGGCGTGAAGGACGGACCGGAATGCCCCCCTTCTCGTGAAGTTTTAGTCGCCCCCCACACCCCCGGCTCATACCTGCTGTCCACAAGGCTCCCATGCGGCCGCCATCCTTCTTTCCAGAGAAGAGAGGGCGAATGGGGCAACACCCTTTCCCCTCTGGGCAGAAATGATGGCCTGGGTTAACTCATCGTCCGCTCACTTTTCTGCTCTAAGCTGCTGGTTTCTGCATTAAGTCCTTGTGTTTCTGGGGCTGTGGCCATGCTCCAAACTTAACTCTGATTTTCAGGGAGAAAGATTGGGTGGTTTACTTCTCATTGATCACTTTGTATATAGAGAGATGTCGCGCGGCCGCATAAGCGGCCACGCGGTTTTGAGAAAAAGTCCTCGTTCCCGCATACTCGAGCTGTGTTTGTAGAGGCTTCTGGTCACCAGGGTTCCATCTGGGGGAGGCGAGATGCGGCGCCTACTCCATCTGGAACTTGCCGGTGCTCTCGGCTCTTTTTGGAACCTGTTTTTTCTTTTTTCTTTTCCTCCGGGATCCCGCACCCTCCATGTGTTCCTTCTCTTATTCTGAACGCTTCAAAGATGGCGCTGGGGGGCGGGCTGTGGGCGTGACTTCCGGAATCAGAGGTTACCTGGGAGGTGTAGTCCGGCAGATTTGAGAAAAAGTCCTCGTTCCCGCATACTCGAGCTGTGTTTGTAGAGGCTTCTGGTCACCAGGGTTCCATCTGGGGGAGGCGAGATGCGGCGTCTACTCCATCTGGAACTTGCCGGTGCTCTCGGCTCTTTTTGGAACCTGTTTTTTCTTTTTTCTTTTCCTCCGGGATCCCGCACCCTCCATGTGTTCCTTCTCTTATTCTGAACGCTTCAAAGATCTCTACACGTTAGCATTTTAAGTATCATTTATCACAACTCAAGTGGTAATAAACTATAATCTGATATTCTTTCTCCTATGAACACATTATTGGCTCTGCCTTAGAACTGTTTTCCCTACCGTGTAAGAGCCCATGTTTTAAACACTGTGGAATTAACATGTATGAAGGCATGCATTCTTTTTCCTCCAGTATCCCCTACCCCAATTCAATTCCCACTTCATTTATTTTATAAATGCTCTCATTAAACAGCCAAATTTAAATCAAGAAAACACCATTCTTTCAACTCCAGA